AGATCAACTTGTATGTTTCTTGGACCGTGTTTTTAGTTCTTTCAGTATTGTAGATAATGCGTGAGCAGTTTGTAGCCAAATAATTTATCAATTTATTTAAGTTAGAATACTTTAATTAAACTGCTTATTTACTGTGCACTGAATGAAAAAAGGATAAGCCATTTAGAATACGTGGGGTCAACTTAATAAACGCTCTCATGGAACATGAATCATTTATTTATAGGAATGAATTCCCATGCTGCTTCGCCTAAAATATTTTCCAAATCTGATCTGTGACTTTCGAACTACTGCAAATTTTATCGTAACACTCAAGGTAGCGTGAATTCAAACCGTGATAGAAGAGAACTAAGAATATAGGAGTGGGAGATGAAATCAGGAATAAGTATACTTTACCCATACCCATCAATATACGAGACCGAAATGTAATTCCGAAATGAGAGTGATGTTGCACGAGTTTGATCAACGCCTGTATATCTACCTCACAGAACTCAACCCTATCATATTTTTTCTGTTTTACAAGAGAACACTCTTTCGTTCGCTCGATTATCATCAAGTAAGCAGATATAATCAATGCTAGGTTGGCATGCTGAACAGATATTCAAGCTGCCCTGACACAGGAGCGCCATGAATAGATAAGGTAAGTTTGGTGCATGCAAATTGTGACCTTGAAAACACACCACGGTTATGGACAACAAATAAAACAGTCCTTATCGGTGGGTGCAACCGTGCGAGGAAGGTCACAAAGCCATGGAGTGAGTTTTAAACAAGATAAGTGGGTTTGTGTGCAAGCCGCGAGAAACAACTTCAAATCAAGTGGGACGCGCACACAATGAATCATAAATCGCTCTATTCTTTGTCACAGGAAAATGCCTCAATGGCCTTATTGATTTTATCGTTTTTATGGTGATTGCATGCCTACTTCAACGTCATGTTACATATACTATTGGCGTTATGCCTACCCTTTATGGTAACACAAGCAAATAAGAAGAGTATCTCTCATTATACCGAAGGCTCAATGCTAGCTAAAGATGTCAGACGAGAGACGGGATCTTGAGATGTTTGAATTATGATGTTCACGAGGATAAGAGTCATAGTGGTCAGTTTTGGGGTGACACTATGCTACGCTATGCTAGACTTGATCAGTGAGTTGGACCCACAGGGTGTACCAGGCCGGATTCAAATACGAGCACCACT